TACGGGAGTGACCTATTCACAACCTTCTTAATATTATTTTGTTACGATTTTCAAAATTCTCCTCGGGCCATGGCCTCACCGTGCTTTTATGTATTTTTAGTTTTTCATTACTTTCGTTCCAGCGAGCCTGCCATTTACAATAAATCGAATTTTTTATTTTTGTTTTTAGATCCATCGAGCTAATGGGGGACTCGGGGGCAGTTCCCTATTGCAAGATAAATTAATGTTTTATATTTATATGGCGTAAATTGTTTGGCAACGAAAGATTCTAGCCCGATCAGAACATCAGTTACCCCGAAAAGTCATGCGATTTTTCTTCAGGAGAACAACAGAAGTCAAACTACTGTGGCAAGCCGCAAACAATTTGTACAAAAATTACTAAGGAACTTATAATTTTTTTTAAAGGTGTACAATTTTGTCACATCCTTAAGTTGTACTTGTTGTACAACTGGTTGTAATATTGATATCGATTTTCAGAAAATGGTACTGATATGGCTTTTTGACCTTAGGCTTACAAAAATTTTGAATTTAGTCCGGAATTTAGGCGGCCAGATCAAGGATATCAGTGATATTGATGAAATGTACAATATCTAAAAAACTTTTAATACGTATAACTTATCATATGTATTTAAAAACGCAAGCTAAATATGAAAATTTGCAATACATTCTTTGTAATATTATATAATTAACGATATATATTTGCAATTATCTACTATGTAGTGTTAAACTCTAGAATGAATTATTTCTGTAATAAAAACTTGTTTTTCTAGTCATTATCTCCAATAATGCACTATGTATATGACAAATATCCAAAAAAATAAATATATTTCACGCCAAGCGCTCTCCCAATGCCATGCTTATGGAAATTATTTCTTTTTCCTCTTCGAAACATTGTCAGCTAAAGATGAGTTGTTGAAATTAACCCAAAAGGCATCCATTAAAAAATATTAATAATACTAGAGCTCTTCAATAAAGTAGTAATAAATTACATGTATATGAATTTTTTCTATAAAAATTAAAATATGTTTAAATAAACTTGAGCCCATTTTTTTTTCATAAATGTAAGAAAAATTGTAAATAATTTATAACAGCGCATTCAAACTTTGCTTGTTTTATTGGTTCAAATACATCAATACATCTAAACCCGCTATTAATTCAGGATGTCAGGGTAAAAGTGGAATGTTTTATCTTTTACTGGAAATGGAATTAAGATTGGAATTGTGAAAGGTCACCCTTGACTAATTCCGCTTATTCGTCTTCTGGAACGCAGTTAGAAAGCTGCAGTTGTCGAAATTTCTGCAGAGGTGTTTGAGGGTTATTGCACATGACATAGCATTTGTTAGGTTCTGGTCGATTTAATCCTAGAATCAGAACCGGATAACATACCAAAAACCTGATCACTGCTGTTTTTAACTATTAAAAAAAGCTCTATTGATAAACTTTTGGTAATTAAAAAATTGTAATGATATTTATAACTGTACAGGATTTGTCGAACTTACCTACATTTGATTATTTTATTCCTGTCCAACTATTTATGATGTTTTATGTTTCACTCAATCGCCATTCGGCTTCATGCTATTTTCAGGGAGGAACTAACTTAAACCTTCACTAACTCACATAAAAAAACTACCACTACCACATGTCGGGAAATATATAAATTGAAACACCATAGCGGTTATCTTTTGAAGAAAATAACCAATGGAATTTCTTTTCGGACAATTAACAATTTAAAACTTCTAAATAATGATGTCGTCCAGAAGTTATCCAGATTGCATAGTTTGCAATTAAAAATAAATAATTGAAACAGGTATGTGATAGGAATAATTATTTAAGTCCCAGATTCGACTTGTAACAAGTGTGTTATTTGTTTGTCGGGCTCGCCAACTTTCTCACAAAGTAGGATTGATTAACGAGCTGATTGGATCCGGTAATTTCATATTCTGGTCCCACGATCCCCGCGACAATGGGTTCGCAAAGGCGTTAAACAAGTGAGCGCCCATGTCTCTGAAGCAATTTTATCGGGGTGTAATTGAGACATCCACCCGAGTTTCCCATGAAACTACCCGTGGAAATCAAATGTGTCACGGGAGGAAGGGATCACGCGGCCGACGCCAGCAGCGTCCTACGCCCCAATTTGTAACTGGCCATCCCCTAACGACAACCCCCTTTGTATAAAGCAGTGTGCTGAGGACGACTGTGAATTACTGCCAATAAAATTTACTGTCTGCAAAAATGCAATGTCTCTATTTAAAACAAAATAAATACTTGGATAAACCGTTTATCTATCGATTGGTGTTTAAAATAGTCTATAATATAAACTAGCCCTTCAAATTTAACTAATTTTTTCATTTTTTGCAAAGCATATAAGACCTACCAAACTACATGCTACATAAACTGTCTTTGTAATATACGTGTTAATTAATATAACTGTGAGTAAATTTTTCGATTATTTTTCTTTGTTCACTTTCCTTGTAAACTATTAATAAGGTATATTTTGTTTTTGTATGTTTTTGGCAGACTTCATGTAGGGACCAATAGCCATGCCAGCCAATGTTTCCGAACGATATACATGAATATATTGCATTTTTTTACCATACACATCTACATATTCTTTTCTTTCTCAGCAACGCTCTTTATACACAAAAATTGGCGATGTTGGTAAAAGTGGAGCGAAATCTGCACCAGTATTAAGCAATTAACTTACTATCAGTTGAAATGATAAATAAGTAAATTAGTGATTTGTTGAAAAAGTTGGAGAAAATTTCGTTTTTTCCGAAAAACAAAGTTTGAAAATAGTTTTTTCGGATTAATTTGAGAACCGTTGCTCCAAAGTAAAAACCGTGAAATCAGCATCTAAAAACATTTCAAAAACTTATAGTTGAGGTGGATTGTAAGAATTTAGCTGATAATCATAACCAGCTGTCCTAGAGAGTTAGATTAAACCTTTTTGGCTCATGAGAATCTAGTTAAAAAATAAAACTTTACATGTCTCGAGTTTTTCCCTAAAAACGCCCCAATAAAAACATATATGGGGTCAGAAGTTGAACTCACCTGATTTCATTTTTATAACAAGCTGAAATGTCTAATGGAAACAAAAAATAGTCGTCTGCTTTTCAGTAGGTATGAACATTTAAAATAAATAAATAAATAAAAACTGAGATATTTGTGAGAAGTTCTCTGGTGCTTAGCGGGCTGATGAACCTATAATTTGATAGTTTGGTCTTCCTGTTATTTATATTTATTCTGCCAATTCATCAGGTTTGTGTTTGTCAGGTGCCGCTTCATTTACTTTTAGAAACCTAGAACCAACACTGAAGTTGACGATAAAGCACCTAACACCCGAAAGCTGCGTGTATAGGCAAACTAAACTTTTAGTTCTGTCTGTCTGTCTCTCTCACTCNCTCCGTCTTATTTTAGCACTAAGACATAAATCTGGGCTATCTTGATATTTCCGGACATGGCTCCTTCATAATACATTGATGTTGAAATTAAACCACGACCGTAAATAGTGTTTCTGAATCACATGCGAACATAAGACCGAAAATGATCAGAGATTAAATGCCCCGTTGTAGCGAAATTCGATCAACTAATGTTATATTTAATAATTTTTTAATGAGTGATGGAAAATTTCTATCAATCGTACATAATTTTTACTTTTCCCGTTGAACCTCCTCTTATAAATCCACTTCGTCAATTTTACTCCACCTCCGGCGTACTTGAATTTATAAAAAAACAACCCCCTGCTGTTTCGAAATACACAAGAGCAAGGGATATTTCATAGGGGTAAAGTCGTTTCCAATCAATGCCCCTCCGATGGAATTGTAGATGCCGTAATTCACTCTTAATCTATTTAAGGAGAAACTGGGGATTGAAGTGAAATGCACTGAGTCAACTCGACAAAAATACATCTTTTTTATTATTATCACCGTTTTTCCATCCCTGTACATAAAAATAGATATACATTTCTCAAATATACATAACAAGCTAATAGAATGACTAGACGAAAATATTTTCTCTCAACTTGGTCAACACGTAGAGGCACATTTTTTATTATGTAGGTGTATCAAATTTTTTCCAAAAATGCAAACTATACTACTTGTTAAGAAAAAAATTACAAAAATAAGTATATATAAAATATTTTACATAAGACACGTTTTAAGAATCGTTCAAGTCTATGTTCGGGTCATTGATAAAAACAATCCATGAGCAAATGGAGAGCTCTCCATTTTCACGTCAAATGAATGAAAAGAATATTAAAATTGTCAACCAACCAATAAAAAAATATATAAAACACAATTTTTTCAATAAGAGATTTAAATTGAATAAAAAACAAAAAATTATGGTTAAAAAATAGTTAATCGTCTAGATTTTATACATGCTTAATCCAATTTTTGACCTACAAATTTTGTTTATAATCTAGCACAAATTACATTGGTATAAATATTACCGTAACAACGGGAAATGTTAACTTTAGACAATTGAGCTTACATTTATGAATTATGACGAAATATGATAGTATAATTTATATTATTCATGTAAAACGTTCGATTTATGATTATCTCGAGTAATTTTTCTTCTTTATGGTGAATATTTTTTGAAATTATTCCTGAATTATAAATGGTACTTTTGTATTTAGTTATTTTTATTATAAAATGGCACGTTTGGTACTTCTAGAAATTGTATGATAAACATTGTGCGCCATTCAATCGCTCAAAATGTAAACAAAAACAACAAGAAGTTTTAGGATTTTTGTAAGTTTAGAAAAATAATTTTCAACTGAGTGTTTTAAATTTTGAATAACTTTTCCTTTGCTGTTATCATGTTTTGTACATTTACTTAATCTAAATTAAACAATGTGTTTGTTTATGAATAACAGTTAGATTGAAAATTTTAAATATTGATTGTGTTTCGTTTTCTTATACATTTGTATGTTTATTATTGCACGAGAAAATAAAATAAAGAAAAAACAATCTATTTTAAAATATATGTATATAAAAAAACAGTTCTTTTCTTTCGTATAAAACAAAATAAAATAATAATTAAACAATTAAATAAATTTAAATACAAGGAAACATGTGCCTCGTATTGTTGTATTTTTCGTATCCGTAGTCATATGGTTGGTAGTAAGGCTGGTTCCAGGGTTCTTGCTCAGTGAGCCATTCGGGTTGCCTGCAGGACGAAAATTCGTAGACGGGGCTTAGTTTTTCGCTGTAGTCCATGCTGGAGCTTGTCTCGTAACACGGCGTGGACTTACCGATCGGCTCGAATTCGAACGGGCCCGGTGCTTCGGGGCAACGCCTCTGCTGGGCGAGGGCGCAGCTTCCGGTCGAAGAGGTTATCTGCAAGAGAAATCGTTGATTGTATTTGGACGAATGGGGTGGCGGTGATTAAAAATCGATATTTTTGTACTGGGTGGTCAAGGGATAAGCGTGGGGTTGTAAATTCTAGTTAAAAGTTCTAATAAAAAATGATTTTCCAACGGCATTTTTTATAGGATTTCGTAAATTTTTTATAATTCATCAAGGTAAGTTGTATTTTAAATTACTAAACAAACTATAGAATGAAAATAGAATAATCTATCTCTGATAGGTATCAGCAGTTTGACACACACATAGGAAAAAGTCTATCGTAATTCGTCTCGTCGTATTTTTGTGTTAGGGTTACAAATTTTGCTTTCAAGCTATTTTTATCATATTTTTACAATAATACAATATAAAAAACACGAACTTTTTATCAAACAATAATTGCACGGCTCTCGTTTAGATTATTAATCCTAACCACATATTTGTCAACCCAAGATGATGTAAAAACAATATACGTATATTAAATGCAACTGTTCATGCTGAAATAATTTCATTTTATCATAGTTGGCATTAATGGACGTAAACAGCGCGAAATGGCGGACCACGCTTGCCAATGTTCAACATAGTTTATAAGATTCACTAATTTCGTTGTCCGCTTGACCAATTAATACATTATAATTAATTAAGGTTTTTAGTTGAGATAAAAAAGTCAATGGCACGAGCGGGATTCGAACCCTCGATCTTCGGCTAGATTCGCCGCTACGCTCAACCAGTTGAGATATCGTGACCTCGATCCACTCACACAAAATAGCAAAAAGGAGGGAAAACTCAAAAGTTGGGGTTGAGATAGGAAATTGATTCCGAGTGGATCGAGGTCACGAAAGCTCAAGTGGTAGAGCAGAGGCGTATCTAGCCGAAGATCGTAGGTTCGAATCCCGCTCGTGCCATTGACATTTTTATCTCAACTAAAAACCTTAATTAATTGTAATAGTTTATAAGTAATTTATAATGATTATTATTATTATGTTAATTTAGCGAAAATACTAATATTACATCCATAAAATAATTTTTTTTGTAAAAATACATTAAAAAATTATAAGGCTTAAATCAAAAACGTTATTGTTAGGAAAAATTATTTCCCAAAATTACTACGTGTGATAACCTAATAAAATTTGTTTATGATATCTCAGACAATCCGGGTTAAATTGAGAATGTAATAAGTTTAACGTGAAGATACAAAAGAGTGCACATAACAAATTAAATTATTCATCACGCAGATACGAGAAAAACTTTTAATGTTTAAATTCATTTAAAGGACTTGTTTTATTGTTGGACTTTATGTTTAAACGGATAGGATAAGTTATGTTTATAATATACAAATAAAATGATACTTACTTTGTTTCCATTTTGTCCGATGCTCACAGTCACATTTCCCAGAGTTAGCGTTGTCACTTGCTCGGTGCCTCCTGAGTTCAGGGCCTGCCCCAGGGCCCAGATATAGTTATGGGCGAATCTCAATGTTTCGATCTTAGTGAGTTTCGTATCTTCGGGGAAAGTCGGAAGCGCGCATCTAAGCCTGTCGAGGGCTTCGTTCAACATGTGCATCCTGTTTCTTTCCCTGTCGTTCGCCTTGAGCCTCCTGTGACGTTTGATGCGCATAACCTAAAAGTCAAAATAAAATAATTAGACAATGAACCGGGAATTTTCAAAATTTGTCGATTACCTGTGTGGGGCTCCGGGCTCGCGTGGACCTCCTTTTCCCTTTTTTACCTTTTCTCGATTTCTCTTCCTCGGAGTCGTCGAGGACTTCGAGACCTGAATCGGCGCTAATCGAAAGTAAGTCTTTTTCTCCTTGAACCTAGAACAAAAGAGAAAAAGCTGTAAGTCTTGACAGTCGTGACCATTTTGTAAAGGGCGCCAACTATCCTGAGTATTTTCCCCAATCAGACATGAACCGCCTTGCACACGAATTTGAATATGATAAAAGAACATTTTGAAAGTTTCACATGTTGAATTCTCCCAATACTTTCAATCACTCAATAATTCAAATTATTTTGAAATCGCTAAAAGTTTAAATCACTAGACCGGTTATACGGCTCATCTTCCAACTCATTATTTTTTTTTGTGAAATTCAAAACTATTAAATTGAATAATGAGCAACTTATTTACCACATATATATTTTATGGTTGCAAATACAAAATAGAGCAATTGTAACAAAACTGAAAAAATGGTAAAAACAGAACATTATTCCAAATTCATTGTTAATTATTTTTCTTTAACCTCAATCACTGATTGTATTATAATTAACATTAAAACCATTTATTTAATCGCTGGTTTGTTCCATCCTTCAAGATAACAAGTGCAAAATTAATTGACATAACGTTCTAAGATCATTTAAAAATTGAATGCTATTCACATGGTTTTATCTCATACTATGTGAACATACAGCATTTATTGTTGAAACGTTAAATGTTACATTTATATTGTTCGGAAAAGATAGATTATTTAAGACACCACAAACAAGTATACAGATTTTATTCAGATTATATTTTCTATGAATGAGGGTATTAAATAATTTAAAAATGTTTCTTGATTCAATTATGGAGAGATTAATTCAATTTTTACAGTAATTTATGACATGTTTTTAGAAGATTGTACTACAACTTTGAATCTCTCTCTCTCTCTCTCTCTCTCTCACTCTCCCTCCCTCTCTCTCGGTCTCACTCACTCACTCACTCTCTCTTTCTCATTTTCCTTTAATAATTCACTCACTAATTGTACTACAACTTTAAATCTCTCTCTCCCTCTCTCTCTCTCTCTCTCTCTCTCTCTCTCTCTCGCTCTCACTCACTCACTCACTCACTCTCTCTTTCTCTTTTTCCTTTAATAATTCACCCACTAATGCTCGCACATTCACAGTACTATTCAAGAAATGTTATTTTCACTCAGCTTCTTTTTTATTATTCAAATGCACAAATGTTTTTATTGCTCAAATTCCTTCTAATGACCTAGGTAGGAAAGAAGTTTAATGAAAAATATCAAAAATTATGAAATTATTTTAACATCTACTGATTTGAACAGTGTTATTTTATAAACAAATAAATATTTACTATAATATAAATTGCAAAATTGGTCAAAATGATAAAAGGATTTTGTTAGAATTTTTAAACAAATGTAATAAAAATCATCACTATTCAGTGTAAACAACCGGCAATTAGACAGTAAGGTAAATAAATAAGTAAAAATTAAGACGAAAGCTTACTGCTCTAGTAATAACTAAAGGGTATCGTAAGCACAGTATAAAAAGCAATCCATTATTACATAGAAACATAAAAAAGTCAGCTTTTTCAATAAAAATGTATAAATAGCACTTTTTATAGATTCTGTTAAAACTTTGTTTTTTAAAGTTAAACCTTCTTTAATATATTTTACCGGTTGTCAAAACAAGGTGATAATAGTGATATTATATTAAAAACACATCAAATTTAAACGAATTCTCTGCAAATATTTAATGTGAGCAATTTGTCGTTTATGATACTAAAGAAGTATAATTATTAAATTAATTGAGAAAGTAAATTTATGAGTGGGTGGAAGTGATGGGGAAAAAATATGGACACAAGGCAAAAAACATTAAACTATGTGATATTGAAGGGCCGTATAATTATTACAGAAAAGTGTTGATATATATATAAAACGTTGAGAGGATACTATTTCAAATTCATGTGTAAAACGGAGATTAAAGCAGAATAATTGCAAATTATATGACGCTGATTTTCATTCAAACTCAATTTTTTTGTAATAGAATAAAATATGTTCAAAAATTTGAATTTTGTCCCGAAAAGTTTTATATATTATAGATTGTAATGATTGGATTGAGAAACTTGTTCGCTGTTATTATTTAATAGTGAAGAATAGAAAAAGCCGACTCACCATTTCTGTAGTAAAAATTTTTAAAAATATCGCCAAGTTGTTATGAACGAGGAAACCGGGACGTTGAAATACTGGTGGCTGGTGGCAAACTGGTGGCTGGTGGCAAACTGGTGGAGTCTCACCACCGGCGGGGGTTGTTAAGGGGTGGTTTGCCTTTTTGCTATTGGTCCGTTCGGTAACGCCCCGTCACCTGTACCGGGGGCAGCTGGGGGTTTAAAGCACACGACCGTTCGCCGTCGTTTATCACGCCCAATTAAATGCCGACCGTCTACGTCCTTTAAATACATTGCGGGCAAAGTTCACCTGTCATTTTGCAAGATTAGGGCCAAAAATGCGTGAATAATGGATATTGAGCCTTTACGGCTTTGTAAGCTTTTGAACTGCCGTAAAGCGGCCGCAAGTTTAAAGGAAGAAAGAAAAAAATAAGATAAAGAATACAAGCCGTAAACTACTTTCCAAGTATATTTTAGTTTATATATCCAAGTATAGTATAGTTTTAGTTATTTACAATGCTATAAGCTTAATAAAAAGAGACTGCATACAATTTGGTTTTATAAAATTTTAATATTTGGGGACCGCGCACTACTGGTTGGGAATCCGGGTCGTATATTTGCCACAGTAGCGGTTCGAGGTTCGAATCCCCGCATAACCTATGGCTTTTTAATTAAAAATAATATAAAAAAATCTTAAAGTGGTACTAGCCCCTGTATCGCGACTCCCAGGAAACCCCTAAAAACGTCAGCAATTACAGAAAAATTATCATTGGGTCAGATCGCCGAAACATACAAAATGCGAATAATTAAAATTAAAAGTAAAAATTGAATTTAATGGGTGGTCCGCTATAGCAGGCAAAAAATTTATATTTTTATTATATTTGAGTCTGTAGTATTCGGTTTTTTAACGATTAAAAGTAAAGTAATTCCTGCAAAACAGGGAAGCTTAACGTACAACCTCCCGTTCGGTGTCGCAGAAGTAGGTCAAACAATTTTACAATACTTCTTTCACACTCTTTCATATTAATTAAAAAGCCATGGGCTATGCCAGGATTTGAACCCAGCACCGTTAGCATGGCAAATACCAATCAGTCGACCTAATCTCTTCGCTAGCGGTTATTTAATTATTACCCCATTATGTTGTTGTAAGTTCGAATTAAATCGTCCCCTTCGCTTAAAACTTTCTGATTGTTGTTCTGATGTTTTTTTGGGTTGGCTCTACCGTACTCCTCAAAAAAAGTTTTTCCAAATCGTACTAATATACTATTTGAAAGCTAATTAAATAAAGCAGTTTTTGTTAAATTCGCAATTTTTTATGAAGCTTTACAACATAGTGAATTTGTTAAACTAAGATCATCCAATGATTACATTTTATAGGTTTGTGCATGAAGGGTGTTGATGGTGGGTGTTGGTGGTGAACTCACGTTGAACGGCACTGGCTTACTTATTGGTGTCCGGCTTTCCTTACTTTTCGAGTTCCTCACTGAAGATGGCGCAATGGCGAAACGCGTTTCAGTAATTTGATAAGCAGTAAGTATGTTGATTTCATAAAAGTAATAAAACATCGCCATATATTATGTTGTTGTCGGTTGTTAACTAACAACTGATGTCGGTTCAGGTCAGGGTTTAAGGTAAGGCAACTATTAAACAAATCGTCATTGGTAATTTGTTCATTTGTTATCTAATAAGGACTGATCTAAAAATAATAAATATAATTACAACAAAATAATTAACATAAAACAAAAATTTTTAAAAATTCACTTCGGATCATTTTCATTTTTCTCTCTCACTATCGCCCCCTCTCTCTCTCTCATTCTCCCTCTCTCTTTCCCTCTCTCTCTCTCTCTCTCTCTCTCATTCTCCCTATCTCTCTCTGTTCTCTCTCTTCTCTTTCTCTCTATCTATCTATCTCTCTCCTCTCCTCTCTCTCTCTCTCTCTCTCTCTCTCTCTCTCTCTCTCTTCTCTCTCTCTCTATCTATCTATCTCTCTCCTCTCCTCTCTCTCTCTCTCTCTCTCTCTCTCTCTCTCTCTCTCTCTTTCTTTTTAACGAACGTATAATATAACTTATGGTCTTGCAGTAATTTCTAATTTTTCTAGAAACAATCTTCTTAAGTACATGTATTCATGCACATGTAAGTGTTTATTCGCTATATCTGTAATGTACAATCTACACTATCATTCTAGAATTTATTTCAAATACTATATACTACTATATTTTAAATATTGCTATAAAAAAATATAAAAAATATAAATACTATTAAATATAATACTATATTTCTATTTCAATTACTACTACTACTCTCTCTCTCTCGCTCTCTCTCGCTCTCTCTCTCTCTCTCTCTCTCTCTCTCTCTCTCTCTCTCTCTCTCTCTCTCTCTCTCTCTCTCTAACTATCATTGCTTATCTTAAAATTCTTTTCAATTATTTATCGTAGGTTTTTTTTTGAGTGTTAGAAGGTATTATGCGCATAGAAGAAAATATAGGATGATTCTTAATGATAGGTAGTAACAACGACTTATTAACCAACTTGCACGTTTTTATCGATGTCGGTTCAGGTCAGGGTTTAAGGTAAGGCTACTATTAAACAAATCGTCATTGGTAATCTATGATGTCTGATGGAAATTCAGTGCCGGCAATGACTCGTAACTGACCCATTTTCCGTGCCGTAGGCTCACAAATCGCGAGTGCACATCTGTCCACTTCGGCTCCCCTTTCCATGAATAATTATCGTCGAGGGCCACCATTAGACGCCAAGGGGGTGGCAAACGTTTGATTAAAGTTTTCTCGGCCGGAACCAGATTTGAGGAAGGGCTGGTCTCATGGGAACCGATGTGTAATGGGAGACATCGTACCTGTCTTTAAAAACGTTAGGATGGGCTCCTCGTTTGGCGAACTAGGAGTGAAAAAAGGGAGCCCTTTTCAAATATCGCCTTACAATCAGCCCGTTTTCATTCTGTCTTACCGGTATATAGGCTCTTTCTTAGTAAAATAGTCTAGAAAAAACAAAGCTATGGATAAACACAGCTGTATGGAAATAGAGAAAAGGGCAACGTGAAAATTCTTAATATTGAATCAGTTCCCAGTCATAAGATTTCTTCAAGAAAAAACCGAAAGATGTTTAAACAGTACAAAAGTAATCACGTGAAGACCTATTACAAAATAGATATTTTTTGAAGAGAACAACATTTTTTTATGTACGTTTCACTTTGAAAGAATTATGCAAATACTTGTTTACCTCTGAGAAAGCTGCATTACAGAGACTAAAAGGAACAAAACATAAAGTTTAGTCAATTCAAAATATAGTTACTAATATAAAAATATTACGTAACACAACATTTGACAAAATTTTAATAATTAGTGAGATTGCGAAAACAAAAATTTGGATTTGGATTTATATTGTATCCTACGCGCTCTCTATATGGATCCAAGGAATTTCAACCTTCAATTATGTGGGACACATCGAGCAACCTTTCTCTGCATGCCGAACATATACGCGGGCTTTGCCTCAAAAGTAAGTGTCTGTGAGCCAACCTCGCATTGTTTATTCTTAAGCGGGTGAGGCTGACCTTTCTTCTACGAGTCAGATCCTCCCAGACCACCCATCGACAATGCTCTTGTTATGTGAGAGCTGCTCTGCCGATTCGTCCCACCAACGCTCCCACTTTTTTTTAAATCATGTTTTTTTAATGTATTAAAACTTGCGCAGTGGCAATATGTAATCAATGAAGTTCTAATGATATAGGATTATTGCTAGTTGAAATTTATTTCTTTGTTATTGTCCCTAACATCATAGAATTCAAGCGAAATGAAAGTTTTTTTAACCTATACAACACATTTTTCCTTTTGATTTTCTTCCTTCTTATTCCACTTTCCTACTGTTAGATCTTTTATAGACTTACTAATTATTAATTTATTACTATCCGCAATCTCCTTACTGGAAATGGTTTCATCCAGATCCACTGTAAGTTCTTCGGAAAGAGAGTTTCCCCAATCAATGCTAAACCCTTATTCTACAGATCCAGTGAAATGTTTTGAAAAACGATTGATTGATCAGATTTATTACTCTGGTGTAGATTTAAGTGAACATTTTTGTTATCTGCTTCTTTTTGTTTTTCCTATCCTGCGATTATATTCTTATGGTACAATCTTTCTGGTTTATTTCATGCAAAGGTTGCTTCGTTCAAAAAGGGGTAAATTTTGTGTGAATTAAAAAAAAAGTGTATCCTAAGCACCACATCAATTTATGCACTACTTTTTTTTAAAGTCAAAGTAAATTGGTACTTCATATTTGACGGTTAAGCGACATATCCAATGTTAACGTAAAATAGTAGAACCGAGATGTTCACCGTTGTTGATTTGTCTGTTGAACCCCACGCACCTTGAACGGCTTCCAGCCGATTGACCTAATCCGATGTAATCCAATAAATATTTATAGAAATAGACGAAAGCGACAGAAGTTCGATTTCACGGGTTGCGATTTCTACAAATCGGGCCAGCTGCTGCCAATAATCCTTTGATATCAAAATCGACCGATATCGGCAAGGTATAAATCTTTGATCTCCTCCTGGTTTTACCCGAGGCAGCCGTGAAATCGCCGGTGTTTGTTGTGCGGACGAGCCGTGAAAACGGTGTGCAAACAGGAGAAAAGGGTTGTGAATACAGCCTTTGAAAAGTAATGAAAAGTAAAAAAAAAAAAAAAAAAATAGAATGGAAGAAAGAAACGAGGGAGTCACGGTGTGCAAGGGTTGATTTTTCATTGCAGGGGGAGTTCATAAATGGACCCTTTCACTCTTTTATGCCGGGGTTCTAAAATTACAGTACGTCCACTAGGAAGTCGATAAACAATGTTGCAGGGTAGCTAAAAATATTCCAACTGAATTTTAATACAATAAAATGTTAATATTCAATTGTTTACGCAACATGTTTGCACTGTTTGACTAGAGTCCAACAATAAACAAAATAAATCTTTTGTGATCCCATTATCATAATCCTTCTACCAGACATAACAAGTATATTAAACTGATAACAATATCATTTTAATTAAATAACACTATTGCTAATAGTAACTCACAGACCAAATTCGACCAAAATCGTG